GCGCCGCCCCCAGGGGGGGGTGTGTGTTTGTGTGTGTGTGTGTGTGTGTGTGTGTGTGTGAGCTGAGGCCGCGGGGCTTACAGTGTACAGGTAATCACTTGCATGAGCGATGGGAGGGTATTTGCTGCTTGTACTACTTAGAGCCAGCGAAGCAGCGTTATTTACCTCTACCACAATGCAGCTGTCTAACTTCTGTGTCTGACCAGCTTCTCACCTTCTTGTGTCATGCCACATGACAGGTAAAGGGATGAGTCTCCGTATGCAGAAGTTAGACACAGGCAACACGGGCAGCGGCATTGTGGTGCGTCTTATGGTCATGTGCGTCTTTATGGAGCGGAAAATACGGTATTTGATCCCCTACCAACCAACAATAATTCTGGGTCCCACAGACTGGCTATGTGGTACGCCGATTAGTCCTGATAATTTAAGAAGGTGCTCCTAACGACACCTATCCACAGAATCTCTTTCTTCCATTCAAACCTCACCACCATGGGCAAGACCAAAGAGCTGACAAAGGACGTTGGTTACAAGATTGTAGGCCTGCACAAGGCTGGAATGGGTTACAAGACTATCAGCAAGAAGCTTGGTGATAAGGAAACAACTGTTGGATCGATTATTCGCAAATGGAAGGAATACAAAATAACCGTCAATCACCCTTGGTCTGGAGCTCCATACAAGATTTTGCCTCATGGGGTAATGATGATCATGATGAGAAAAGTGAGGGATCAGCCCAGAACTACACGGGAAGAGCTTGTGAATGATCTCAAGGCAGTTGGGACCACAGTTTCCGAACAAACCATTGGTAACACAATACATCGCAGTGGATTTTGATCCGGCAGCACCTGCAAGGTCTCCCTCCTCAAGAAGGCACATGTACAGGCCCGTCTGAAGTTTGCCAATGAACATCCAAATCATTCAGAGAAGGATTGGGAGAAAGTGCTGCAGTCAGAGACCAAATTGAGCTCTTTGGCATTAACTCGACTCGCTGTGTTTGGGGGAAGAAAAACGCTGACTATGACCCTAAGAACACCATCCCTACGGTCAAGCACGGAGGTGGAAACATTATGCTTTTAGGGCTATTTCTCTGCTAAAGGTACAGGCCGACTTTGCCGCATTGAGGGGCCAATGGACGGGGCCATGTATTGTAAAATCTTGGATGAGAACCTCCTTCCCTCAGCCAGAACACTGAAGATGAGTCGTGGATGGGTCTTTCAGTATAACAATGACCCAAAAGATACTGTCAAGACAACAAAGCAGTGGCTCAAGAAGAAGCACATTAAGGTAATGGAGTGGCCTAGACAGTCTCCAGACCATAATCCTATAGAAAATTTATGGAGGATGCTGAAACTTCGAGTTGCAAAGTGACAGCAAAGAAACCTTAAGGATTTGGAGAAGATCTGTAGAAGAAAGATTGGACCAAAATCCCTCCTAAGATGTGTACAAACCTGGTAACCAACTACAAGAAACGTCTTACCTCTGTGCTTGCCAACAAGGGTTTCTCCACCAAGTACTAAGTAATGTTTTGCTTGGGGATCAAATACTTATTTTACTCACTGAACTGAAACTCAATTTATAACATTTGTATCATGTGTGTTGATGCAAACTTGCAAAATCTGCAGGGGATCAAATAATTACTTTCCACACTGTACATGTACAGCCCCCATGCACCCCTGTCCTAAAACTGAGAGTTTATTTAGACTTCAACAATGTTGCATCTTACATAATACACATGTAAAAAATATCTTTTTTATTTTGCAGTTTCTTTATTTCAGCTGTCTTGTAATATGTTCTGTGCTGGTAATGAAATCAGTAATAAGGCCAGATGCAAACAGTTTGGGGCTAACCAGCAGGACTACAAATACCAGCATGCTCTGGGCACTCTGGAGAGTACATCTCTATTACTTACCCACAGCGATCTCCTGATGCTGACCAACATGACACCACTTTGTGTGTGTGTATATATAGGACTACTGCTCCAGAGCTCCTGCTTTGCAACTCTGTCCTCTGAGTAGCCCCAGTCTGCTCAGCTTGGGCACTGAAGACACCCGCCTCCTGGAGAGCCCTCACTGTATGAGAGGCCAGCAGCGGCTTTTAGGGGAAAAGCGCTGCTGCACACATTGCTGACAGTCCCGGAACCTTCTTGCTGCCTGGGGAACCATATGTTGCTGCAGCACCAGCCCAGACTGCAGGGCATCAGGGAGGCCCGGGGGGCAATTGGCTCCCTGCCCCCCGGACCAGTCCGCCCCTTTTACACAGACTCCCCCTCTTATGTGCCTCAGCCTTTAGAATGGAATGCTTCCTCCATCTCCCCAGTGGACCGTCCACTGGTCTGCCTGATGTCGAGGAGAACTGGAAGCCTTAATAATAATGGCAGCCTGTAGTCATACCGGACGACATCAGCCTAACCTTTGTGACTGGATCAGCACAGCAGAGTAATACATCGCCCACCAGCCAGCCCAAACTAGTACAGGAGCTTCTTTGGGTCGTTTTCCACGCGTATCCGTTGGTATTCCCGAGTGTGGCTCAGAGTTAACAAAGCAGTAACCCCGAGCCACACTCGGGAATACCGTGTAGGACTTACCTTGTCCGCAATCCCTGCTGTGTCCTCCGGCCGCTGCCGACTTCCGGGTTCCGTCCCTTGCGAGCGGAAGCGTCGCAGGGGGGCGGAACCGGCGGGAAGTTTAAAAAAACCCAGAATGAAATAATAAAAACGAGCGTCGAACGAAAAAACAAGCAGAAAAAATGTGCCTATGGTACGCCCAGGTGTGAACCCAGCCTAAAACAAATACAGACTAATCATTTCAGGATAGTGGTACAGCGCCAGGGCTCAGTCGCAGCTGCCACCGCTGTGACCCTGGTAGTTCTCGTGAAAATGTCAAGTATCGGCACCGATACAGATACTGGTATCTGAACATCCCTTTACTATCCAAGCTACATAGCAAATTACACACTTTAGTATAATACATAATTCTAAATGATCTGTTCAAGGAATTAACACGTTATTAGGGAATAAAATCAGTGACCGCTCTATCAGCCCAGTCTGCCAGACTCCCTTAACTATACTTTAGGCACTCTAGCTGCAGGCAGTAGTCCTAATTTCCCTGTAGTCAAGCAAGTCCTTTTAGATTGGGTAGAGAAAGGCAGAAGATGGCACAGCCCTCACTTCCTTAGCAATCTCCTTCCTCTTGATGCTATCGGCTATGACAGGACGGAATACATCTAATGTCACTAATCCATTCACAAGTGGAAGTAGTGCAGGTAACTCCTGGCAGCCCAGATACCCGTTTTATACATTGATTACCTCTAGAGTTCTAATTAGAATTCACTCAATCATTACAGTTCTAATATCTACAAATAACTCTTTGTACCAGCCTTCCCCTGATAGCAACAAAAGTAATGGCACAAACAAATATTACACACAACGCTGAATCATTCATTCATAGAACGTTCACACCTTTTCTAGTTTTTGATAATGAATTGTTTTAAATATATTTTCAAATCAGCAGATTTCTATTTACCTACAGCTTTTATATACCATTGCCTTTTGTTTGTAGAATTTGACTATATTTATCCTTCTCCTTTTTCTAAATGAATCTATACATACTGTAGCTATGCTTCGCAAGTGTTTGTCTTTAGGCCTGAAGCACAATTACATTGACCTGTTTGTTTCGTAGCAACCTAAATGGAAAAATAAGACAAAATAGAATATGGAGTATGTAAATATGAATCTTTAGGAGCGAGATTAGATTATGTGGTTTGTTTGTTACGTTAAAAGCTTTCTTCAGACCCAGTTTTTTGTTTTTGTTTTTACTACAGGAAAAATATGGTGATATTTCTGAGCGTAAACTGCTCAGAGAGAGACTGCAGTGCAAGAGTTTTGATTGGTACTTGAGAAATGTTTTTCCAGAATTGCATGTGCCTGAAGATCGGCCGGGCTGGCATGGGGCGGTAGGTATCTTTTGGCCTCAGTTGTGTTTTTGTTCAGGTACAACAACAGCAACAACAAATTTTCATTATTATTATTATTATTACAAAAAACGGGTAGGTCCCTGTAGTGCTTGCCACTGTTATAACCTAAGGCTGAGCAGCATCCTGTCTGTCTGTTACATCAGCTGCTGTCCGCTGTCTCCCAGGTGGATCTACACTGATACATCTACAAAGTCTGGTGAGTCTGGGGCTCCTGTTATCCCTGGACACCTAGAACCCCTATACCCTATGTTCCCAGCGAAGATGTTCAATAAATCGTTTACTTAGCATTTTACTACAGGAGTGTACATCAGTTTATGGGCACCAGAAGAAGGGCGGTTAGTGCTAGTGGGTGGGCAGCTGAAGATCATACCTTAGACCAGAGCTCAAAATTTCCACTCGCCTGCTCGCATTTTGCGAGTGGAAATGAAGTGAGGGCGAGTGGAAATTCAGCAGGTGTATTAGGGCTTTCACTCTCTCTGTCTCATGCTGATGCTGCCCCGCTAGCAGACACGCCCACACCAATGCTGGACTCACTGAGTTTCCTTTGCTAGCAGACACGCCCACACCACTGCTGGAAGTGCCGTGTCCGTGTGTGCTTTGGATATCCCAGTGGAGCCGCAAACTAACAGGTCAGATGCCGGGGATGATGAGAAGCACTGAGCGGGGGGAGGGAGGCAGACGGCTGTGTTTACAATATGTTATCTCAAACTAAAGCTTAAATGCAAGTGCTGCGCTTCCAGAGACCAGAGAGAAAAGTGAAACAGAAAAGTCCAATCATCAACAAAAAATTGAATATAAGAAAAACTGGGATCACAGCAAACGCAGAATGTGATAAATATGATATTTCCTGCACAAAAGTACAATGTTCCATGGAGATATAACTAATAGTGTTAAACCCACTGTGTCCAAACCCCCCCCCCCCCAGTCAATATGCTATATGGAGAGAATATATATTGCTTAGTGAAAGAAAAAGTCAGAGGTTTCCACCACTTCTTCACAGCTGCTGACAAGTTATATCTTCACAGAACATTGTGCTTTTGTGGAGGAAATATATTTATTACATTGTGCATTTGATGTTATCACAGGTTTTTCTTATTTTCACATTATTGTTGGTGATTGGATTTACAGATTTATGTCTAGTAGTGTAGTACGGCACTTATATTTAGGTTTTGGTTTGAAAAAACACAAGGTGTAGTGCTCACATTAAATAAACACACAGTTAAATAATAGTATTAATCAATATTAAGTAAATAATATTAATTAAATAACTAATATTAATATTTAATAATTAATGAAATAGTAAAATGAATGCATTGCAGGGTCCTAAGTCTATTGCATTGGATGGCCCTGAGTGTATTCCGTGGCATAGTTCAGAGTCTATCGCGTTGGAGGGTTCTGATTCTTTTTACTACTTATTTTCCTTTATGTTTACATTGCGTTAAGTTAATATTGTTAAAGTTGTTATTAATATTTATTTTTGTAACTTTATTCTGAATGAAACATTTAACAGTATAATTTCATGAGATAATTTAAGAGGGTGTGGTTAGGGGCGGAGTCAAGGCCAGGGCAGGGTAGGGATTAGGTGGGGCAACTGGTGGCGAGTAACTCTTAAGGACTGGCTAGTAGTTCAGAACCTGAAATTTTGAGCCCTGCCTTAGACAGACTAGAAATGAACCGGGCAACCAGTGGCTCCTACAGGGGTAGCGCCACACATGTTCACTGGTTTTGATGGCATTGCTGTTAATGACCAAGACCTAAGGGTATGGTGTCTTTCTGACTTGGTCGTTCCTACACTCCTGAAATATAGCAAATCCATGTCTGGCATTGCACATTGAAAGAAAACTTTGCTTGTTGCAAGGCGGAGAAATATAATCCTAGGAATTATTTTATGAGATGTAGCATGACCTTTCTACAATACTTCCTGGATCAACAATTGGCTTTGAGGGACAAATTTCACCTTTTTGGCGATTTTTGTTCCAAAGACCATTTGCTAAGCACTCCCTTGCACCTTTGTACAAGGAGTAGCTCACATAATCCCACCTGTAAAGGCTCCAGTGACTCTGTGTGACTCAACCGGGTTCTATTTGGTCTCAAAAGGCCGCCTTTTTAACCTATTAGAGATATTCCCCTGTCATCTCTAATGCACAAGGTGGCCTTCCTTGTTGCCATCTGAGTGTTTGTGTCTGAGTTAGGCTGGGCACACACCTTACAACCATCGCAAGACTTTTGTCTTGCGATGGTTGTAAGGTACTTAAAAACGTCCGATCTGCCTATGTTGCATAGGCAGATCATACTTGCGATGATCGCAAGCCACGCCCCCTGAGGGGCGGGCTTCCGATGACCGCAATGCCGAACGGGCAGTGTGCGCTTGCGCACACCGGCCCGTGCGGCTGTTATCCTACGGACATGCCACAAACCCGCCGAACATCGTACGATGCTCGGCGGGTTTTCAAACATGTCCGTAAGTTTAAAGTCGTGCGACCTTACAGTAGTAGAGGTCGCACGGCTTCCACACACCTTACGATCATCGTACGATCGCGGGATTTCCCGCGATTATCGTACGATAATCGTAAGGTGTGTGGGGACCCTTAGCAACATTGTCTTGTAAAGAACCTTTTCTTGTTCTGCACAAGGACACGGTTGTCCTAAAACCTAGAACCTATTTTTTTTTCCCTAAGGTGGACTCTGCCTTTCACCTTAAACAGACCATTGTTCTTCCATCGCTCTATTCTGTTCCAATTGCATCCATGTTCTATTGCTGGGATGTGGTTAGAGCTTTTTGGGTCTACCTTGCAACTACATCTTCACTAAGACAGGCTGACTTTCTTTTTGTCATCCCTCAGGGTCCCTGTAAGGGTCATTCTGCCTTAGGTTCCACCATAGCTTTCTAGCTATCTAGGTGGCTTAGGCAGGTAATTTTTTAACGCAGCAAAACATGCAACACTCTTGCGGTGCCATTTATTTCTAATGGCGCCCCAAACGCGGCCAGTAAGACGCTTTTTGCTCTGCATTGTGTGTGGAAGCAAAAAACACGGAATGCTTGTCACGCAAACTACTACATGAGCTTTTTTTGCCATGTGTAGATGAACCCATTGAAATCAATGGGGACATGTGGCAAACCTGGCACACAAACACGCATCACCATGATGCACATTCCCACCATGCACAGGTGTGAATGCGGGCTAAGTTTTAATGGGTGGATATTCGTGCACCTGTAAATGCGAGCTTTGGATGTAAGGTATTTAAGTTGCAGGATACCTCAGTGATTTGTCCATGGTTATTGTTTTTGTGGCCTGTTGTGTTGCCCTCTCCTTATTTGAACTGTTTTGGGACTTCCCAATGTTCCTGAATTCTACTGATCCTGTGTCCCTTGGTGAACAAGTAAGATAATAGGATATATGCACTGGCCATAAAATACTTTAGTTGCAGTTCTTCAAAGGACACATGGCCCACCCTTCTGTGTTTTAAGATCTACTCCTACTACTTTTTTCCCACAAAACTGAAGCATCATGGGAGTGGGGGGTGCAAAATTAGCTGGTCAATTACTTTTTTGTTTGCCAGTGTCCGATTCCTCCAAAAGGTGGCAGTGTAACCCAATGTTTCTGAATTCTGTATGAATCCTGTGTCTTTTGATGAAATCCAAGAAAATGATTTCCATTAACTTCAAAATTACCTTATTTTTTCTCATAATTGTACATTTCTCAGTTTAAACATTTCATGTTTGCTATTGTGAATAAAATATGGACTTATGGCATTTGCAAGACATTGTATTCTGGTTGTATGTAGATTTTACACAGTGTCCCTACTTTTTTGAAATTGGAGTTGTACATTAATTGACTTTGCCTTGGCAAAAAGGTCTGCAGCATTTGCTCAGTCCCCTCCCCTCTCATTACTCATGACTATCACGTAGTAACTTTATAGCACATCACAGTGAAAGGTAGCAGCAGGGACTAATCTGTATACATGAACTGTGAGCCAAAAACTGCGTAGGCAAAATTCATGATTGTTTCACTTCTGAGCCGGATTTATTATACTTCAGTTTACCAGTCCTTAGATGTGGTTCTTTGTAGTCCTGGGAATAACACACTTCCTGTCCCTGGGGAGCTATGCTCACTTTCCCACTGTATCAAAGAAGGCTGCAATGGTTGTCACTGAGGATGATTTGTAGGCTCCATTCACACCTGCAACCTGGTGAGCCTCATGCGATCTGCCTCAGACAGAAGGTGCTGTACAATACAATGACAGCTACCACTCCCCGCAGCTGTTTGCAGCTTTATATTTATATATCTATCTAGATTTGCTACCAAAATAAAGCCCTATCTGTGCCCCAAAAAACTTTGTATAATAAATGCAAAACTAAAAAGATCTAATGCACCTTACCGAGACCTTACCGAAAAAAGAAAAACAAATGCTCTGGGACTCAGGGATTACTCAGGGATTTAGGGAGGTGAAGGCCTCGGGAATTAAATGGTTGACAAAGCATCCTTTAGGTAAATCTGTCACATTAAAAGCATAATGTGTTATAGTGAAGAAAAAGTATAGAAAATCAATAGTTTTGATGTCTTTTGTCTAAAACTGATACACCTTTCCAAAAACAACATATAAAACAATATGGCATTCAAGTCTGTATTTAATATGACTATGCTTTGATGGTTTGAGTGAGTTTTATATTCCACTTAAGTGAACTCAAAAAGTGAAGATTTGCTTTGATGTGGGGAAAATTTTGAAAGGTTAATTGTGCCAAACCTGTTTTAGCAATAGCCTGCTGTTTTGAATTTCCCAGTCTATGTAGGGCAGTGCAGTGTTTATATGTTCGTGCTCATGGGATGCCATTATTCAGCCTAACGCAAAACTCTATTGTCCCATCTCTCTTGGTGTACACTGACTGTGACCAAATGTACATGGAGCTCTGAAGTATACTATTGGAAATGCTAGAAGATACAAACACTATGCTGGCTTTAATATGACCATGCTTGGAGTTATAACCATGCATTATTTTGGGAATGGCATTCTCCAGAATTTACAGTTGGAGCTCAATGTCTATTGTAATCCTGGAATTTTTCCTGATATTAGACTTACACTGTATTACCAAAAGTATTGGGACACCCCTCCAGATCATTGGATTCAGATGTTCCGTGAAATTCTGTGCTACTAAATATTCCATGGTCAACTGTTAGTGGTATTCTAGCCAAGATGAAGCAACTGGGAACCACAGCAACTCAGCCACAAAGTGGTAGGCCACGTAAAATGACAGAGCGGGGTCAACACATGCTGAAGTGCGCAGAAGTCGCCAGCTGTCTGCAGAGTCAATAGCTACAGACCTCCAAACTTTGTGTGGCCTTCAGATTGGCACAAGGGCAGTGCGTAAAGAGCTTCATGGAATGGGTTTCCATGGCCGAGCAGCTGCATCCAAGCCTTACATCACCAAGTGCAATGCAAAGTGTTGGATGCAGTGGTGTAAAGCATGCCGCCACTGGACTCTAGAAAATTGGAGACATATTCTCTGGAGTGACGAATCACGCTTCTCTGTCTGGCAATCTGATGGACATGTGTGGGTTTGGCGGTTGCCAGGAAAACTGTACTTGCCTGACTGCATTGTGCGAAGTCTAAAGTTTGGTGGAGGGGGGATTATGGTGTGGGGTTGTTTTTCAGGGGTTGGGCTTGGCCCCTTAGTTCCAGTGAAGGGAACTCTTAAGGCATCAGCATACCAAGACATTTTGGACAATTTTATGCTCCCAACTTTGTGGGAACAGTTTGGGGATGGCCCCTACCTGTTCCAACATGACTGCGCACCAGTGTACAAAGGAAGGTCCATAAAGACATGGATGAGCGAGTTTGGTGTGGAGGAACTTGACTGGCCTGCACAGAGTCCTGACCTCAACCCGATGGAACATCTTTGAGATGAATGAGAGCGGAGACTGTGAGCCAGGCCTTGTCGTCCAACATCAGTACCTGATCTCACAAATGCACTTCTGGAAAAATAGTCAAACATTCCCATAGACACACTCCTAAACCTTGCGGACAGCCTTCCCGAAGAGTTGAAGCTGTTCTAGCTGGGTCAACTCAATATTGAACCCTACGGAGTAAGACTGGGATGCCATTAAAGTTCATGTGCGTGTAAAGGCAGGCGTCCCAATACTTTTGGTAATATAGTGTATCTCTTACAAATAGCCAAAGGAATATTCAAACAAAAGATAAAGCTTTTTTTTTTTTTCTGTAGGTGCGGAGTATGGGCATATTGTCAGAGTGTCTAGATTATAATGCTCCAGATCATAATCCTGTTGGGGCGCATGTCTCTCTCTTTGGATGTCACGGGCAAGGTGGCAATCAGGTATGTTTTGCTATATGAAATTTGTACAATTTAGTCATTAGGACATGTGTCTTTTTTTTTTTCCAACTAACTGACTATGTAACTATTATAAGGATACACAAACACTAATATACAAAACCAGCTTTTGTTTAATTATAATTTTCAGGTAACAATGGTGATAATTAGTAGTAGTAGTATCATAAGTCCATAAAATAGATGCTGACCCAGAATTATGATACTACCCCCAATAAAATGCAATGAAATATGCAAACCAATTGTGGAGTGATGGCCTTCCCTCTTTGACTGTGCTACAGTTGGCCAAGCATCTGGTTTACAATATGGCTTCTGAGGTATGCAGAATTCTTAGATACATGTAACCATCCCGCTTACATATATCTAAGATAAATGCACATTATGGCAACAACCCAACCTAGCACACAGCAGTTAATGTAAAAATGTTACATCATTTTTTTTTAAAATTATTTCTAAAAAACTCCCTAGAGTATTAGTTTACCTGAGGCAGTTATTGAGCATTTAAAGCTTTATATAAGGTTCTAATCATGTCTTTAAAATGCAGAGTATTGATTGCTTTAAACATTACATTGTTAAGCACATTTGCCAATTTTTCATTGTTTTTTATATGTTAACTCAATTTGGCTAACTTTGTAAGACCAAATGTCTGCAAGAGCATCTTGGTTGCTTCTCTCTTTCATTTGCAAATCTTAACTGAAAAGACAAATTATAATCAATGTGCTGCGCTTCATCTAGAACAACTACATAAACAAATCTCTATAATAAATATGTGCTTAAATAATACATGCAATCAAAAAAGTGTTCACAATGAATCTTCTTATAAATCTTAGTCCTATGGAAAGTTCAATCATATATTCCATGTTCAAATATACACAAATGTGGAATCACACGTATATAGTGCTCAGGATTTGTCCCAAATGCACCACACTCTTTATCCTTCCACTGTGAAAGTTCTTTGTACAAAGTCGATACGTCAACTCCAATTATCACCCAGGTGCTCCCCCTCTCAGTGGGCCGCTCACCTTATAAATACCGGTAGACCTTAACAGGTCGAGAATCGCTTTAATGGGTCTCCAATCGATCTTATGCAAAGGCCATCTCTCCACAATCGTTGCATAGAAAATTACATCAGCATGTCGTCATGACCATATCCAATAAAATATAAAAACAGCCCATAGCGTAAAACCGCAAAATTAAAAAAACCTCCTTTTATTTAAAAAACTACTCGCATGAGGAAAGTAGACTTAAAATGTATGCTCGACAACTCTCTCTCTGTGTCACCGTGTTCTCTGGGTGCAAAGACAGATTAAACAGGAGCTGTGCTGCCGACCATGCAATCTCCAATCCACGTCTGCGAGACTCCGCCCTACGCATTAAGTCACAATTGACTTCATCTGGGGCTTTTGAAATGAACTGAAACGGAAAAGACAAGCTGATTGCTTGCCATGGGCAACTGCTCCAGATTTTGTCTGCTCCAGTTTTGATAAATTCCCCTCCTTGTGTTTCTAGTTCAAATTAGGAGAGCAGCGCTGGTCCGGTAGGAGGAGCTCCAGGTGGGGTCCTAATTTAGCTGGCCGGTGACTGCCAGAGGATCCCGACACGCGCGGCACCTCTGGCAGTAGCCGGCCATCTTTTACTCAGCTTCCCAGAGTAGCATAATGTCTGTGCCCACGTCAGAAAGCCTTTGAGTGTAGCTCAGAGCTTAAGTAGTCATCTGGGTGACAAACCTGCCACACCTGCAGTTGCAGAGCTATCCGAGAAAAATCTAAGCTGTATCCAAAGGTAACAAGCGCCCATAAAACAAATACCTTCTTCAGGGATCCTTTTCCACTGACCACTAATGTAAGGGGACCATTCTCTTGATTACTAATGTAACTGTCTGTTATATACGATTGGTGTGTTCGCCAGTCTGGTCAGCTTGGGTCTGTATATAGCAACCTTGTTGTAAGCTCTTTTTGAAGTGGGGCATGAGAGGGGTGCACAGTGGTGTTATTGCAACCTGCAGGAGAAACCATGATATCCAGCACAACTGGGAGTGGCAGAGTATCTCCCTGACTCTGCAAGAGAGTAAAGCTTTCACTTGCCAGAACAATAAGTATTCAGCTTCTTTTGGAGGGGGCTGCTGATTGGATTTATTTTAGACAGGCACACTTTAAGATACTGAGAGTATTGAGAATGTACATTTTCTAGATCTAGATCTATAAGGTCTCTTTGTGAACTAGCTTAAGGGAATGGGTGAGGAGAGGTTGGGCTCTGGAGAAAGAGAGTGAGACCAGTGGCGTAACAACCGGGGGGGCAGCAGGGGCGCGGGCCCCGGGCGAAAAGTGAAGGGGGGGCGCCGGGCGAAAATGGCACTTTCGGCTAAATGCCGAAAGTGACATTATCCTGCCGTTTTGTCGGCGCGGCCGTGATCCCTTTCATCCCCGCTGGGACACAGAGCAGTGCCCAGCAGGGATGAAAGGAATCAGAGAGAAACTGACAGCCGGCCGAGCGCTGCGGGACGAGCGCTGTGAGCGGCCGGTGTCTTTCCTCCCACACTGCTCGGCCGCCTATCACAGTGCAGCAGAGCGGTGTGGGGGCGGAGACAGCCAGCGCTGTCACAGGAGGCTGGGCTCTCCTCTTGCAGCCTCCTATGACAGTGTGTGTCAGAGAGGAGAACTGGTACAAGCACTCAGCGATCAGTGATCGCTGAGTGTTTGTACATAATTGAGGACCTGGTATGTATACTATATCCCCAATTATGAATGAATGGGAGTGATCTACATCTCCTCCTGTTCATTCATAATTGTAGTTATAGTAAACATACCATGTTATCAATGAACAGGAACACTCATAAAGGATTACTGTTCATTGATAACAGGGGACACAGAAAAAGAGATTGAGGACTCTGTGTCCTCAATCTCTTTTTCTATTTTTAATTTTTCTCTTTTTCTATTTTAAAAAAATGAAAAAGTTTCTAATAAAATATTAAAATTTGAAAAATTAAAATAAAAACGTGTGTGTGGGGGGAAGGTGCAGGGTACAGTTCCAGTGGTTGTTTATATAATGGGGGGGAGGTGCAAAAAAAAATGTTCTGCCCTGGGCGCCCAGAACTCTGGTTACGCCACTGAGTGAGACTACTGGTCTTTGAGCTCCTCTGTAAATTCTTTTGTGTGTACAGATAAGTTGTGTGAGATGCTGATGTCTCCTTTTTAACATGAGTCAAATCTTCTCTCTCCTTCTCATCTGCCATCCCTGACATCAAAGTAGCCATCCCTGACTTCACTGCCCCAGCTGAAGTAATTCAGCAGAAGTTGAGGCTGCTTATGGCTAGGAAAGGATGTGCAAACTTCACTCCCTTTGGGAGGTGACAAGTCTGCATCAGCTCAGATTTGGAAATCTTAGAAGAAAATGATCACTGTAACTGCAGGTACTGGTAAGGACTTCTGTAGTGCTGAGCAACCAAAGCCAGGGTCATTTCCTCTGACATAGTACCGATCGGGATCTCAGACTCCCACTATTCCAAACAACCCCAGCCTTTCTCTCTTCCTTTCTTCACATTACCTAAGAGCAGACTGGAGCCCCCTCTAAGGCTGGGCTCACACCTAGGCGTATCGAATATGCGCTTTTGTCGTCGCACGTTTTTACAGCGATTCGCGGTAAAAAAAAACGCGTGACAAACACGCGTTTCCGAGAGCCACTTGGCTGTATCCCAATGGAAACGCGCGACAAAAACGGCCCAAAGAAGCTCCTGTACTTCTTTGGGCATAGGATGTTTTGTAGCGCGTTCAAAAACGCCCAGGTGTGAACCGGGCCTAAGATGTGCACATTATATATGCTCAGGACAAGTTCAGGCAGCATGGCAATACACTTATACACTACACAGAATTATTTCCACTGCTAGCAAACCACTGAGCAGGCAAAACATGGACCACATAATGTGGTGTATGTGTGTCTATGTGTGATACAGTTCAGGCAGGGCCGTCGCATGCACTGTGTATTCTGTGGACTGCTTACAACAGGAATATTTATGCCAGGGCACCAAGTTCCTGTGAAATGTATCAAAAATATATTATATAATATATATTTGCGATCAACCAAATAGCCACATTAAGTATATATAGTAATCATATCATATATCTGTACAGTCTTCGAATGTCTAGTGTATTTTCACTTTAGTGTCTTAGAGTTAAATCTTAAAAGTGCATTCAATTACCTTAAAGGAGAACTATGAGGTGAGTGCTTTTCACTCACCTCATAGTTCTAGCCAACCTGTGACAATGAGACTGCCACAGGTCGGCTCAGTAGATCGGGAGGTGAGCGAACAGATACCTGCGTTCGCTCACATCTCCCGGCGTTCGCTCACATCTCCCGGCGTTCGCTCACATCTCGATCCTGTCACGGCTCTCTTCCGTGACAGGGGAGGGGCTGGATTCCCCCCTCCCCGCTCTGATCCGCCAGCGCTGACTGGTGGAACGGACGGGGGAGGGGCGGGTACAGCTGGCTCTGCCTCTAGATAGGCAGAGCCAGCTGTCAGTCACGCAGCTGGGCGGATCCCGGCTCAATTGTCGGGATCCGCTTCAGCTGTGGCGTCTCAGTATACTGTGAGCTACTGAGCCTAGGGTGACGGGAGGACGCTAGTTTGTGTCCTCCCGCTACCCTAAGGAGAACTATGGGGAAAAGCCTTAACCCCATAGTTCTCCTTTAACTATTAACAAAAATGTATCTTATTTGTGCATCACCCAGCTGTAGATCCTCAAATCATCTCTGAATTGGTGCTGACACTGTACTTCCTTCTGGAGGGTGGCTACTTTTGTTCCCTATGGTCCCTGTGTGTGTTGTAAAGTAGCCACTGCTCCAAGCTCGCTCCTGTGATGGACTATAATCTCAATACAAATTGGTAAACTATACGTGAAATTGTAGTCCATCCAGGGAGTGAGTTTGGAGCGTGGCTACTTTACTGCACATACTATGGTGAGCAAAAGTAGCCACCCTGCAGAATGAAGGAC